GCCCGGCCCCTCCGCGAGGCCGCCCAGCGCCCCGGGCGAGTGGGCGCCGCCGCTCTTCCCGTCAGCCCCACGGCACTCTATGATCGTTGGTCAGAGCCCGCCTTTGTCGCAGCAACGGGAGTTCTCTCTGGGGACAGGTGTTCTATGAATGTGCGTCCTCGCCCCTGGCACAGGCCTGCCACCCGTGTGTTGGCAGGCGGCGCCGGTCGTGGGCAGCCTTAGCGAGAGGCCGGTCAGTGGGCGGCCGTGGCTCCGTCCTCAGCGCGCTGTCAGCCACTGCTGCGTGACAGCCGCCACCGCGTCGCAGGGGCAAGGACGGCCGGCCTGCGCGCCCCGGAGGTGCCTCCCGGAGCCCGTGGCCCCTGGGCGGCTCGGGCTGCGCTCTTGGCCCACGTGGCTCTAACCTGGCCCAGCCGGCTGGCTGCTTTCAGGCGACGGCGGCAGGATGCGAGCAAAGCCGACCACTGGAGCACTAAGCCCCTGGCTGACATCCTCTGGGCCAAAGTAAGATACTCGGCTAAGCCAAGGTCAAGCGGCAGAGAAGTAGACTCTTTCCTTAGAGGGGGCAGGGAGGAAGGTTCAGATTTGACGGGTTTGGTTTTGTTTGTTTGGTCAAGGTGATGGTGTTGTGTACTTTCATCAGTAATCACAGTGATGTCTGTTTTTTTCTCTTTTCGGTGATGATTACCTAGGTTCATGAATTCATGACAGGGTTGAAAATGGTGATACTCTAATTCTGTCATTCCTCTCTCATTTATCACTTGGAAAAACTACTGTACAGAGAAACTTAACCCTGGCTGGTGTGGCTTAGTTGGTTGAGCAGCCTCCCTTGCACCGAGCGGTCGCCAGTTCGATTCCCAGTCTGGGCACGTGCCCGGGTTTCAGGCTCAATCCCCACTTGGGGGCGTGTAGGACGCAACCAATAGATGTTTCTCTCTCTCATTGATGTTTCTCTCCCTCTCCCTTCCTCTCGCTCTAAAAATCAATATAAACTTATTAAAAGGAGAAAGAGAAAAGTCCCCTGATCTTCTATTTGGACTCTTAGTTACACTTCATATAGGAAAGACAGAGAAGTACTTGATTCTATTTACTGATTTTCAAACGAATAAGTTGGTTCTCTAGCATCCTTCCATAATCATCAATGAGGCATTGTGAAAAATACCGTTATGAACTAATGTGTTTCAATTCTATTACATCTATTATTTTTGTTAATGCTCACCCTATTCCATCTTTGGCCAATGGACCCTACTAAAATTGGCTCCTGATTACTTTTAATATAACCCTTAATTTTGTATAGCTTTATTGTTTTCTTGTGTAGGATGTTTCAGGCTCATCTTATACGTGTAGTTCCTGCCATTTTATAACTGGACACAGTGGGTTTGCCGCTTGGGGTGTTCTATTCAAGAATGAGATGTGGTTGTTGTTAAGTAGTTTTATTTGCTTGCAGATAAAAGATTCACATTAAAAACTCTGTCTCTCTGAAGGGAGGTTTAGCTATTGCTTATATACAGCATCTGGTTAATCACATGTTGGTTTCTTCTTTGCAATTGGCTAAACTTATCCTTGGGTTCTGGTCCAGCTCATCTGGGTACAGCTGAGTCTGCAAAAATACTGTTTTACATTTTAACATTTAGCAACAATAGCATTTAGTAAAAACTGTCCAGGCCTTATCTAACAATTTCTCCAAGGGGCCTTCTTACTTTGTTTTAATTGAAAATAGTGTTTGGAGACAGAAACATGTGCTCATTGCTACAAGTTGGTCATTGTTTCTAAACTTTTTCAGTGGTCAGGTGTAGGAAAGGTGTGTATAGTTTTAAAAAATGAAATACATCATTAGTTCTTATTATACTTTATTCAGATTCAGAGCTATAGGGTTTTTACTTAACCTCAATATTACAGTCGTATCTCCCCTCTCCCATACTTAAAAACCCAGTTTTCAATGTTACCAGCAAAATTACTCATTTGATTTATCTTAAAACACACACAGACACACACACACATGCACACACACAGAGGCTCAGAATAAGATATCTGCCCCTGCTTACATTATAAGCTTTGAAATTCAGTCTTTACTCCTAACTCTACAAACTGTTAAAGGTGTTGCTATCTTCTCAGTTCTTTCTTTTGGAATTGACAAACCTCCCCCCCTCACCATGGCTGCAAAAGCCAGGCTTACCTCTCTAGATTTATCTCCTTTTAAAGATATTAGACTGGCAAATCTTCACTATCTTCTTTGCTCTCTGATGCCGTCAAGTAATGTTTTACAATATTTTGTCGGTCTTTTGCAGGTGTCTTCAGTAAAAGGTTGCTCTGAATTATCTAATCATCCATTATTGGAAGTGAAAGTCCCCTTACCACTTAAACTTTGAACACTTAACTTATGTTTATATGATATGACCACAATATTTGGTTTTATTTCAAAGGTTCTAAAGCAGAAACACCTGGATGATTGTCTACGACATGTATCTGTAAGAAGATTTGAATCATTTAATCTGTTTTCAGTAATGGAAGTCAAAAAAGGGGAAACTGAAGAGGAATTTGGTGCATGGGTCCGGTATACAAGTGTCTTCTATCCTGAATACAGTATTTCCTTAAGGTAAACATCACCCTAGTTAAGATTTTGTTTCAAAAAGCATGTTTCACCTGGCTGGAGTGGCTCATTTGGTTGAGTGTCATCCTGTGCACCAAAAAGGTTGCACATGCCTGGGCTGTGGTTTTAATCCCCAGTCAGGGAGTGTATGGAAGCCAACTCAGTGTTTCTTCCTTTCTGTCTCTCCGTTCCTCCCTCTCCCCTCCCCGCTCCCTTCCTCTCTCTAAGAATGTCCTCCTGTGGGCGAGGGTTAAAAAAATAATACAGCTATAAAAAGCATTTTTCTCTTATAAAAGAGAAACAATAATGACCTCATTGTTCATTCTATTGGCTTGCAACCAGTCTTCATCAGAAGTTAGGTTTTGCAACTTTGTGTTAGGAATTCCTGCTGCTTTAACTTGTTCTTGCTGGATTCTCAGAACTAAAGAAAAAAATCCTCAAAAATGTAGTGGCACTTGAGGATAAACTGTGATGCAAATCAAAGGTTCGTGTAACCATTCTCTCATGGCATTTGATTATAACAAAAAGCCAAGTTCTTTGTGAGGCAAGGAAGGCTGAAAGTGAACACTGAATTTTTCTAAACTACTCTTCAAGTAGTAGTTATCTAAAAAAATCAAGCTTTGGTATTTATCCCATTTATGTTTTGTCACTTTCAGAATAGAATCTTAAGAATAGGAGGAGAAAATTCAGCTGAAAACACTGATATTGTGAGAAGCATGCAGACTGTTCTGGCTTTAAAAATCATTAGAAAAGGGATAAGAGAGTTGCAAACTGAAGTAACAAGATGCCATTTTTACTGAATTACCTTTCTCTCACAGTTATAGTCTAGCATGTTGCAGTATTACTTTAGGCATTTGATATTATAAAATCTACCCTCTTTGACAAGATTTCACATTTTGAAAGGGAGGGAGGAGCCCATTTACAGTAACTGCAAGAAGAGCAAAAAACATTTTAAGTGGAAATGTGACTAAATAAGATTTAGGTAAGGCTAGGAATAATTTTAAGAAAAAAGTTCTCCCAAAAGATGTCTATTTATATATGTCTTGAACTACTTTAGTTTAAAATATCTAAGCTTTAAAAGATACCATAATAGCGAAAATTTGGGATTTGGATAAAAATTGACTAGGGTAAGCAGGGAGGAACAGTTAGGATACAGTTTCATAATACTGCTTTACTGAAGACTTCAAATGGAAGATAAAACTTTTGGGTTCGTTAGGTTGCCTGCACATCCGTTATGAGGTTCTAATTAGAATACCTCAACTGTCTCGCGTTCTAACGGATAATTTGTTTAGTCCTTGGTTAGGAAAGAAAGAAAAATGCATTAAATGCTTAGTGTGAGCCAGGTACAGAGCTAGGTGCTTTGATGTATTCTAAGTAGAAATGAAGATAAACAGCTGGAAGATAGTATATAAAAGGAAATTAAAGAGAAGGAAAAACAGAGAGATCCAGTAGGGGTCTTCAGGTACAAAGTTCTAAAACATACCTTCTACATCCACCGGTGACAAGAGGCTCTAAGTGTAAACTGCGCCAAGAATAATTTCCGGACGTCACCAAGGCCCCAGAAAGCATTACTGGAGAGCATTGCTGTGAAATCTCTTGTTCTTGAGAACTTTCAAAATAAGGCGTGGTTCTCCACCTGGTGGATAGAGATGACCTGGTTGTAGCAGGAAGGCAGGCTAGAATATAAACTGAGACTCCTCTCCAACAGGTTGTTTGTGATATATCCATTTTTGAAAGAATAAATACAGGTATGTCTATACAAATATGACATTTAATCCTACTTTATGGAGAGAAGATAGGTGACTGAGCTAAAAATTTGCCTAAATAGCTTAAACATACACAATTTTAGAGCTGACCGTGATCTTAGAATAACATTTTAAAAATCATAACAACATTAATAATGGCTTACTATTGAGTGCCTACTATATGACAAGCACTGTTGTGAGTGGTTTACACGTATTATTTAATCCACATAACACCTTATGAGGTAAATACTGTTAATTATCCTCATTTTACAGATGAGGAAAGTGAGGCCCAGAGAGATTAAATAACTCGATTGAGGTCACAGAGCCAGTAATTGATTGTGCCTCTATTCAAACCCTGGTGGTCTGGTTCCACAGCCTGTACTTTTAAACACTTTTATTCTGAAATAATTACAGACTCTCAGAAAGGTGCAAAAATAGTACAAGGAGTTCCATGTACCCTTCACCCAGCTTAACTTCTATCAGTCATGCATCCATTTATTCATTTTATAGATAAAGGGATTGAGGCCTAGTAAAAGCAGTTTCCTCATTGATGATTCTGAGCATTCCATTTCTTACTCCGTAATTCTTTTACTATATAGGGAATTGCAAAAATTACTGAAATTGCTTAGGTAGGGGAGGATGTCTGCCTAGAATAGTTTGTTCCATTCCATTGCCAGTTTTGTTCGTGTTGGTTTCTTAGTTACTGCTTTTCCTTGTTTTCTGTCACCTGTCCAACATGGATCTCATTCTTGTTCCCTTTGATGTTTCATATCAAGTTTTCTCAACATATTTTCATGACATTTCTTTAGCTACCTTTATCTATTGTCTCCAGTATTATTTGAGTTGTATTATTTAAAATCGTGAACAGTATTTTTTAGAGAATTTTTATGAGTTTCTTTGAGCCAAAACTGACAACAGTTGCGGGGAAGCAAGATCTAAAATGCTCCCAATGCATAAAAAGTTTTAAAAAAATTACTTGTGCTAGCCAGAAGTAGTGGTTTAGAAAGTAGTTTTGAAATGGAGTACCATCATCTTCCTCTATATTAAGTTTGTTAAATCAGCACTATGGAATGATTAAAAAAAAGTGATGAATAGTTTTAAATAAATTCAAATCAATAAATATATATTAGCACCTTCTGTGGAGGTAAACAAAAATAAGTATAAGATATACTATCCTGAAGGAGCTTAAATATGTGAAAAGTTAAATAATAAAAAATAATTAAATAAGAAGGAAAGTCAACCACCTATTCTAAGAACTCTCACCAGGCAGTACATAACTATTTACCAAACGAGTGGAAACCTTCACACAAATTAGGAGTTTAGAGGTAGGAGTGATTTTTGGAAGGCCTTGAGGAGCAGCAGTTTAAACTGGATCTGGAAGTATTTGAATATTCTGGGAAAAAGGGAGAAATAATTCCTGATGAGGGCAAAGACACTAGGAAATATACAGGGGTGAGAAAGTGCAAGGCAGAATCAGCAGAGGCTACTGAGAAAGCCATCACAGCCCCTACGGAGGAGTGGTGATCGATACATGTTATAAGGTGCATCTGCTTCTGGGTTCTGATAAAGAGCTGAGCATTTGGGATGTCTTGTTCCTCATGGACCATAAATATAAACCCCATTTTCACTTTCTTAGTTCTTGTCACCTAAGATCACCTACTATAGTTCAACAGACATGATGTATGTATGGTGTTTAATACTTATCAATACTTTTTATTAGTCTTGCCCTTGTTAAAATATCCCTACATATTGATTTCTGTTCTAAGTTTTTTTATGTGTTTGTAAAGTTTTATTAGACTTGAAATCAGTACTCCAAAGAGGGTAAATATTTAGATATTTGTGAATTCAAAGTACATAGTTGTATCTGTTTTATATTATTAAAAGGTATATAAGCAGTGGTCCATATTAAAACCTTGACCATTATTTTCTGTCAGCTTTACATGATGATACTTAAACTGAAGGAATAAAGAATTTTCCTTGGTAACTTTTCATCAGAAGCATAAATCTGGACAATGTAAATGTTGTTATGAAACCCCCAAGATCTGTTGTCTTTTTTGTATATATGAGGATGGTTGACTCTTTGTTCCAGGGTATTTAGAATTAGGAAATTACATTCTGGGGCATGACTTGTACTTTACTCATTAGCAAAATTTTCTTGTCTTTCTGGTGCTTTATTTCTTAGGAATTTATAGAAGAGGCTCTTGCTGTTAGATAGATGGATGTATAGGAAACTAATATGTACTGGGAGATGTTTATACTAAAAATCTTCCATTAAAATTTTTTTATAAGCTGGAATCTGTTATTGTATAGAATTTACTGTATAGATATTAGAAATTGTTCCCCACCCACATATGTCAACTTATTTTTAGTGCAGTAGGAATTTACATATTCTGGAAGCTTTAAAATACTTCCATCATATTTGGAACCATAGAATTGCCTGAATTATTCATTTATAAATGTATACATGTCTTGGGTATAGAAAAAGCTGAGAGGCTTAACTATCCTCCTTTTTTTGAATAAGACTACTGTTGCTATGGTAACTGCTGAATTACCTCTTGACTTTTGGCTTGTCCTGGGAGCTTAGAATGGCAAGAAGTCAAGAATGACTTTGTCTTTGTGGTGCATCTTTCTAGTAAAACAAATATACGCAGTGAGATCATATATTGCTTCTCTAGGGAAAGGAAAAACAAAAAACAAATCTTCACCCCACTGAATTTAGTAAATATCCTGTGAGTGCTCAGTATAACAACTAGTGATGGAAATGGTATGCTTATGATATTAGATGTATGGCAGATTATCCTTATATGTGTGAATATCATAGGTGCCCATGTAAAGCTTGGCAAGGCTGGCATCTGAGGCAAATATGAACACTGAATTTATATTTTAAAAGTATAGTTTTAATATTAGTAGTGTGAATCCTGAGAAAGAAGATACCTACTAAAAAGGGTGCCTGTGGCTAACTGGGTTCAAATTAAGAAACAAAACAAACGTACAAAAACATAGCCTAGCAGCCATTTCTGTACAGGTGCCTCTCACCCAAACTGAACTTCAGGGAGAAGCCTGCACTGAACCACCTGCTTCTCCCCTGAGCTGCCTGCCAGTACTGTGTTTCTGCCATCTGAGCAGCCCTTACAAAGGAATTCCTTGAATCCTAGTTCAACCAATAGGACTAAGGCTTTCCCCATCCAACCAGAGCTGCACAGCTGTATTCCCCCCCCCATCAGTTTCTTCACTGACCAATCAGAACAGTGCCTTTTGGTCCAATCAGACTCTGAGGATTTGGAGCCCTCATTTGCATGAGGATGAGCCAATCAGGGACCAGGGGCAGGGACTTCTATCTATATAAATCAGCTCCCCTGGGGCTGTGGGAACAGCTTTCCCTGGCTGAGCTGAAACGCTGAGGTTGTCTTACCAGACCTCACTAGGGAGGCCAGAGTAGGCTGGCACAGAGTGGGGCAGGGCAGGGCAAAGCAGACCAGCTGCAAGCAGAGCTGCCTGGCTGCAGGCTGCCTCACAGCTGAGCTGTTTTAATAGCAGTGCTGTGTCACTATTGAGCAGTTGCACAGTCATGCTGTTTTCACAGCAGTGCTGTATTCACAGCCATGCTGTATCACAATTAAGCTGTTTTGCAATGAATAAAGTTTCCTTCTTCACCGTACCCCAAATTGGGGATACCCCAATTCCTGTTGCCCTTGAATTGGTGCCAGCGGCCATCGGTTGACAGCAATATTAACAGCAGAGGTGAATATTAAAGCAGCTTTTGTTCTCTTGCATTTTGTGTGTGTGTGTTTTAGAAGGAACTTAATAGAATCTTCAAAATATGTTCCAGTGTATGTAGAAAGTTAAATGACTAATTCTTTGAAATCATATTTTAATGGAACGTAATCATAGCAATGGTCTAATTATAACTTTACTCGTTTTTTAAAATTATTTTTATTTATCTTTATTATTGAAAATACTACAGATGCTGCCATCACAGTTGTTTATGTAGTTTGCTTACATATACATATGTTCAGAGTTTCAATAAATTGAAATGTTCTCTTGACATTTTTTCAAAATTTTATATATTATATGTAGAAATCATTCATTAGTTTCCTATAACTAGCAGGTATAAGGCTTTAAAAAAATATCTTTAGCGATTATTTTTAATAGTACTCCAAAGTACATTGCATCCAGAATCAAGCTTTTCAAACCTTTTCCTTCTGAAAACCCCTCCTCTTTGTTCTTATGGAGCCTTTTAGGGCCCATTCCACTTTCTGGCTTACTTTTTCTGTGTTTTGTCCCCCCCCCCTTTTCTTTTTAATTAAGCAAGATAAAATTCACCATTTTAACCATTATAAAGTGCACAATTCAGTGGTTTTTAGTATATTCATAATGTTGTGCAACCATCACCACTTTTCACCACTCCAAAAAAAAACTTTCATACCCATTAGTATTAACTCCCCATTTCCTCCTATCTCCGGTCCCTGGCAACTGCTAATCTACATTCTGTCTGTGTGGACACTTCTTATGAATAGAATCATATAGTATAGTAGATGACTCAGTGAACAAAAGAGTAGTTCTTAAGTTTGGAGCAAATGAAAGTGAACTTGAAATAATCAAAGTAAATCTTTACCACGCTGTGTGTGTGGCCATTTTCCTATAATTAGCACTAATTGACATTATTCTTTCATGAGATACCATTTTTTAGGGTTTTTTAGACTTCATAGATAATTGGCTTTCATGTTTGTAAGTTAGTTAGAGGTATAGAATTAGTTTTACTGTTTCTCTACCCTCGACCCCATTTAAAAATGCCATAGGGTACGTGTTCTGTTTCTTGGCTTGCAAGAAGATAAGTTTTGCATCAGTGATAACTGTGAAAATCACACTTTTTATTTTGAATACTGCTTTTAACTTTTAAAGATACATTTCGCTTCAGTTATCCCAGTGTCTGCTTTTTAGAAATATTTACTCTTTTGCAAAACATATGCACCTTTTTTCTACTTTTGTCTTAGATTCAGATTTCATTTCAAATGTATACTTCATTTTGATTTGGGAGAGGGAGGGAGTGTGGAGAAAGAGAGAGAAAGAAGAGAAGAGGAGAACAAATCCGAGAGACTCCTTTTAAAACTAGGCCATCTAGGCCATAAAACAATTTCACTTGTAGGAATTTATCCTAAGGAAATAATCAGAAATGGGCTCCCTGATGCTTCTACAGGATGTTATGGCAGCAATAGGCATAAAAGCATAAAACTGAGTATAATCTAAAAGTCCAACGTAAAGTGTTGGTTCAATAAATTATGGTGTAAACATTCATTGAACTACTTGGCAGCCATTAAAATCATGTTGCAGGAAGAACACTTAATGATGCGGGAAATTGTTTATAATATGTTAAATGAAAAAACACAAGTTGCAAAGCAGTATGGTCAATGTGCTCCCAGTTATTTCGTTATTACAGGTATATAAGCATAGCGTAACATTTGAAGGCTATATACCAAAATATTAACTGTGGTTATTTCTGCATGATAGGATTATGAGTAGTTTTTCTTAGAGAACCATATATTATTGCTTTTATGTTTAGGAAAAGTTTTTTTGGAGTTTTATGTTGTATTGCTGATCACTTTAATAGCTGCTTCTTGTATTTTAGATGTTTGCATTTTGCTTTTTTCCCTCTCGTCTCAGGTGTAGTTTTTCATGTTAGCATGAGTAACTTACCCCTACCTAGCATCTTGCATGCACAAAGAAGACACAGTCATTGTGTTACGGTGTTGAAAGTTTGATTTGTGGTTGGTAACTTCATTACCTTAGAATGATTCCATTGAGCTCAGTGCTTATTTGGCAAATAACTTTTCGCATTTTCACTTAATTACTGTATCGAAAACTGGGTCTCTGTGATAGAAGTGAAGTTTTTCTGAAAAGGATAATATAGTTTACATGTATTCTCTTACTGTATATGTATTAATTTTCTAGGGTTCCCAAAACAAAACATTGCAGACTGGATGGCTTAAGCAACACATTTATTTGGGGTTTAGAAGTCTGAGATCAAGCTTTTGCAGGTTTGGTTTCCTTAGAGGCCTCTCTCCTTAATTCACGATGGCTGCCCTCTTGCTGTCTCTTCATGTGGTTCCTCTGTGCACGTGTCCTGTTGTCTGTGTTCTAATCTCCTTTTTCTTATAAGGACACAAGTCATAATGGATTAGGGCCCACCCTAACGACCCCAATTTAATTTTATTACCTCTTTGAAGGCTCAACCTCCAAATATAGTCACATTCTGAGGAACCAGGGTTTAGAGATTCAACACACGAATTTTGAGAAAGACACAATTCATTTCATAACACTGTATATCATTTATGATAAGTTTTATTGACAAAGTTAAAGTAGTGTTGATGAGGTAAATTTTATTATAAATGGCTATTATAAACTGTTATAACACCTTAAAGAACTATAGGTATAAGGTACATAGAGTAGATGGTAGAAGATTGTGGATGCATTCGCATCAGTATTTTACCACCCCTGGAAGAGTGACTCAAACTCTATGACTTACTGTTGGGCCCATTTGTATATGAAGAATAGTATCTTTTATAAGGATGAATAAAATATTAGTAATTAAATATTTAAAGGACTTTCAAGTGAAGAGAGATTAGAATTAAAGGGAGTGGAATTAAGATTAGCGGGCAAAAGATACAAAGGATTTGCCCTTTGACATTTAGAATTCCCTATGGATGGAAGACCTGAAGGTTGGTTAGTTCTTTGTGACTGAAGTGCTGAATTCTTTGGGGTGTTATAAAGGACATTAATGTATTGTTGAGGTTCTGGAGGTTGATTATTTATTTTCCTTTTAAGATTCTCCAAGTGTAAGGTTTTGTTTTGTTATCTTTAAAAAGGTTAATAATTAATCCCACCTTTATATAACTAAAACAATAACAATAAAAATATTAGTACTTTAAAATGTAGGTTAATCATCAGGAAATGTCATTTCGTTAAATATTGGGAGGACTATATTCTGTTATTTTCCTTCTCCCTCTAGTGGACAGAAATATTTTAAAAATACAACATGGAAGAGTTTGTTAGTATTGGGTGTATCCCACTGCAGTCTCAGCTTTTTTTTTTTTTTTTTTTAAATCTAAATATTCCAGAATCATTAAAGAAAATGTTTTATTTTTTTCTAGGCATAATAGTGGATCTTTGAATATTGAAGATGTTCTTACCAGCTTTGACAATACAGGAAATGTTTGTAAGTTCACTATATAGAAATATTTTTAGTGTTTTAAAAAGTGAATTTATAATTGGTGTTTGTTCTCACTAATGTTTATTATACTGACTAATATGTGTGTATAATAGAAACTCTTACTGTTTTTAGCTGCAAAATGAGCCTCACATACAATGCTCCTACTAAGTGGGATAAGGCGATTTTACACTTGGCAGTTGTGTGTGACAGAATGTAGGTCAGAGGAACACTGGATTTCCCAGTCCTGTCCCTTTTGTTTCTTGTTTTCATTTTGACCTTCTCAGTTAATCCAACAGAGGGGCTGTCTCTTTCTTCTTTGTTGTGTTTTGTGGGCTTTCTTTCCCACTTCCTGATGCTTCTCTCTCACTACAGAATGAACCCAGAACATGTTTTCCTTACCGCTGATACACTTTAATACCAGAATGTTTTTTGCGTTAGGCAATATTGTGATATTATAGAATATATTGTTTTTTCATCTAAGCCTGTAAGTTGTGATTTCTCCATTGAGAAAATCACTTAAATAATTATGTAATGTCATATGATTAAAGAAACGAAAAAAGAATATCTTTATATCATTGCACTGAACAAATACCCTGATAGAAGCTGTGTACTCCTTTATCTGTGTTTCATAGGATATTCCTCTTAAGATAATGAATTATCAATGATATATGACTATTTTAAATGTAAAGATTGTACTCAAATACTTTTTCTCAAAAGAAATTTCAGAACTGTAACTATTTACTGTCTGAACTAAAACAATTTTCTTTGTTACCAGTACTACTTTATTAAATGCCCCCTAATTTGAGGTCTGCATAGAATAATGTCTAACATACTTAGTTCTTAGGCTCACATTATGGCAAACTTTTCGTTGTATAGAAAAAGATATATTTTGTCACTAGGAATTTATAAATATCCTAAAAATCCTAACATATTTAAAATAATATAGGTTTCTTTTTCATGGTTTCTTTTTCATGGATAGTGACATGTGCATCTCTTAGTTTCTGCGTGTTGGCACTTCATGAATTATTTCTTATTTAGGCACATCTCATATTTTTATTGGGGTTTTGGGCAAGGACAGGCCAAGGGATGCTAATGGTGGTTGAGGAGACATTCTTCTTTAGTTCTGGAGTAATGTAAGATATTATTAAGTCAGGCTTACGCACACACAATTTAGGAACATGATTGGAGAGTGTTAAATGTGGAAATTTTGATTCAGTAATATAAAAATCAAATATTGTTCCCAGTGACTCAGTATGAAACAGGGCCACTAGCTGGCAGCATTATGTAAAACAAAAATATTTTCCTAAAGGTCTAAGCTATTATTTTATATATTGATTAGCTATCTTATACTGCTCTAACATTTTTTTCCCTATCAGCTTGTCCCCCAAATCCCCAGTTGTTGTTGCATTGACAAATGGAGAAATTGCATGTTAAAAGCATTTTTTCACTGCTATTGTTTGGTAGAGAGGTTTGAGTCTTTGGAATGAGACCTACCTACACATGAATCTTAGTTCTGAAATTCATCTTGAGCAATTTCTATCGTCTCCATGAGCCACATTTTTTTTTTTTTTAATCTCTAGGAACTGGATATAATGTATAGAAAGTGTATAGCATATATTACACTCTTAATGTTGACACTCAATAAATGGAAGTTATTACGGTGATGAGTATCTCTAAAACTTCTTTCAGTTTTTTTCTAATAATAAAGATAATGTTAAAGGTTATTTCGATGTTTTAAAATAAACTATTTTGATTGAACTAACAAGGCAGGAAAAATAAATTACCAAAATAAGTAATTTGTTAAATTACTTGCCATAAATGTGGCCTTAAAACCTGAATATATTGTCATAAATGTGGCCTTCAAAACCTGAATATGCCAAGTGATAGAAGTGGTGACAAAAATAAGACCTATTAAAACATGTTTTGTGTAACTTTTACATTACACTTTTTATTTTAAAAGAAAAATTTATACTGGTATTTTGCTTAATGATAAATTGGTTAAGTCCTGTTACAGTAAAGTAAGGATTGATTATAATTTTTATATAATATTTGCAAAGGCTTAAAGTGATCAGTAATTGACAAAGTAATTTGTCACTTGATGCCTCAAGTGACAAATTTAACACTAATTGTGATATTAGGTTGAGTTTGTGACTAGAAAACCCAGCAGAGGGCGCCACATCATAATCCTGTCTCACTGTGCAATATACTTGGGATTAATAACTTGAATAATAACTGTACACTTTCATCATGTAAACTTATAAAGATGTATGTCTAAACATTACCATTCGATTTATTTTTATATATTTACTATATTCAGCAACTCATTAATATAAAAATAGATTTTTCTGACCAATTTTTGAATTTGCTTTTTGTTTTAAATATCAGTTTAATTTTTATACTTCTAGCTTCAAATAAAAGAATACTTTTGATCTTGTTAATATTGATATAGGGAGAAAGTTCTATATAAGACTATCAATTCCTAAATCATCACCGTGGTAGTACATTCATAGTAAGTACACTGAGGGATGTTTAGAATGAGGAAAAAAGTTTCTAATACTGTGAGAGATCCAACAGAATTATCCATATATTTCAGGAATTAGTTTCCAGGTTAATTTAGCTTCCTGATAATAGAAAGAATAACTTAATGAAAATATTTTATAGTTACAAAAATATATGTGTTTATATAGTATATATGTGTACTGTATTTATGGGTATAAAAATATATTCCTGGTTTGTATAACCCTTAATCTCAATTTTAAGCTAATTTTAAAAGCAAGTAATGATTTTATTCATTGCAAGTTTTCAAAGAGTGGAGGAGAAATCCCCCTGTATTTGTTCATTCTCTAACCAAAAAGATATGGGAAAGTCCTTAATTTTGGAAAATAAATGAAACCTTTAGATACTTTCTTGTTTCCTGATATATTAGAAAACAAAACATTATTTATATTTACCTTTATTATTTAGAAATATTGTATGTTTTAAATGTATGACCTACCCATAAAGCGTTTTCTATTTTTGAGATATCCTTTCACTGTTTAAATTCATTTGGATGTCGTAGGAAGAACTGAATCTGACACAATCATTTTGCATGATTCATTGCTCTATAGAGTATAACCCCAATCTTATTTTTATATATTTATATTTACTATTGTGGAAAAAATTATTTTGAAAGTAAGCTCCTTTTTGCTTACCTCTAACTAGGAATGGTATACATATTTTATTCTTTGGGTTCTATTATTTGAGAACCTACTTCCTTTTAAAATATCAATGTTACTCTGTGGAGAGGTTGTGTCTGCTATTGATTCATCATGCCTGGAAAGAGGTGCCATCAAGCTACCCAGGGAAAAGTATAGGATGACAGCCTTCGCCTCAGACGAGGTGCTGGCAGCTTCTGTGTTGCATGTAACGTGCCGCTCAGGTACCTTGGGCCAGAGGGTGCTTCGCAAGCACCACAGCAGATCTCTTGCTTCTGTTTCCCTGTGGGCAGGTTCTCCTTTCCAGCTAGTTCCTGACCTCTGATTGAGGAAGCCCCATTATGCTATGTCTCTTCCAAAACCATTTTCTCTTTCTCCAAAGTTGCCTCCTTCCTCTACTGAAATGAATTTTTCAAAATATGTGATTCTCTTTAGCACTTTGTTGATCCACATTTGACTGTCATAGTATATAATGCAACTACATATTTGGTATTTAGGCTATAATAGCTTCATTTGTACTTTTTTAGCACATGGTCCTCTTTTGGCAGCATAAACAGGTGAGTTAATACTTCTCATACCACATATTGTATGCAATATATACAATGTAATGCATATAAGCCTTTAAAGAATAGGAAATAGTTATTATGTATCATTTCAGTAACCTAGTGGGAATCAGGATTTTTGACTAACACTGCAGCTTAAATTTGGGGAAATGTATTGTTAGGATTCCTTCTACTATCCCCCCCCCCTTTTTTTGTATTTTTGCTTTTTTCAGTCTTTTAAAAAAAAAAATTCTTTCTTTCTTTGAAAAATTATTACTTTTCTCCTGGCTGGGCTACATGACAGTACTCTGTGTGGTTGTTGGTGTCTCTTGATCTCCTGGAGAAATTTGTAGATCCCCTGCCTTATATACTTTTACATGTGATAGTGTGATCCACCCCCCTGCTCCCCCTGAATCCTAGGGTTGACCTGGACTTTTAATGCACACAGCTACAACCCCGTGTTTCTGGATCCTTCCTAGTGGTCTAATAGTAGAATCTGTTTCGTGATATATCCAAAACTGATCTCGTTTGGGCTAGTAGTCAATTATTACTTAAGGAAATATTCTTATTAAAATACAAAATATTGCCCTGGCTGGTGTGGCTTAGTCGGTTGAGCTTCTTCCCGTGCACAGAGAGGTCATCCATTCGATTCCCAGTCAGAGCATGTACCCAGGTTGCAGGCTCAATCTCCCATGGTAGGGAGAGCCAATCCATGTGTCTCTCTCATCGATGTTTCTCTCTCCCCCTCTCCCTTCCTCTCTAAAATCAATAAAAACATATTTAAAAGAAAAACAAAATGAGACTGTAGAGCTAGAATGTAAAGGGATTTATTGTAGCACAATGAATAACTGAAAAAAAAATCTTTAATTTTAGGTGACTGGTTAATTATGGATGATCCATGAAATGGAATATTATATAGCTGTGTAAGATCTCTAAAATATATTAGGTTAAAAAATCACTATAGGGAATATGATCTTATTTCTGTAAAGTACATATATCCACTAAGTAGCTATGTATATGCATAGAAGTATGTCTTTTATGTTCATAGTATTTGGTTTGGGCATTCAGGTTATTGATGACTCTCCGTCTCTTCTTTTTTTAAAAAAAAAAAAGTTATTGACTTTAGAGAGAGAGGAAGGGAGAGGGGGAGAGAGAGAGGGAGAAACATCAATGTGAGAGATAAACATCGACTGACTGCCTCCCATACACACCCTGACTTGGGATCAAACCCATAACCTGAGTGTGTGCCCTGACCGAGAATTGAACCCTG